CTGAGAGCAGATTTCACAAGGCATTCTGGATTTCTGTGTGGAAATGGTATTAGCTGAAAACATAATAAACTGTCATTAATGTTATGTTTGGTAGGTGCTCAACTTGGCTGAGATTTGTTTTCCTCCTTTTTTTAGGTTAATTTTAGTCGGAAGATGGTTGGATAGGACATAGTTCACTGTTTCTTTGAAGACAGTGTTTGAACCTGTACTGCTGTTTGCATGCGAGATAGTTGTGAAGTCTTGTATCCAAGCAACCATGCTGGGCCCCCACACATGCCCCTGTTTGCTTTGTCCTGTGTGTGTTTCTGTCTGTCTTTTAGCATAGGCATGAGTTTCTTAACTCTCTTTCACATAGATACATCGAATATACTGCATTTATAAGGTTTTTTTATTTCAACACAATTTGATCTTGAAGAAAGGAATTGTCGGAACCACAGAGATTGTGAGGTTATGGCTCTGCAGAACATCTGAAACGAGTTAGGACTAAACACACATCTTGTTTTGTTTATGTGCCAGCCAAGCCTAGACAGTCTAGAATGCCCCCTACTGGTGACTGGAAGTACAATTTGCAGCAAGCCTTAGAAAACTAAACTTAATGGTCTCGTGTGTAAAAAAACACATCATCCTATGATTAGAGGAAACTTCAAAATCAGCCTCAATGCACTTTATGGAACCCACCATCCTAGTGTACATCACTTTTAGGCTAGGCAGGCATATTTATTTAAAGGTCCCCTATTATACTGTTTTTCATCAATATATGATATGTCTCAGATATATACAAACATGTCTCTGAAGTGTTTGGCTCCACATACCAAACAGATCATTGTAGCATCCCATAATCCCCTCTGTTTCAGCCCTGTTTCAAAAGTGCTGATTCTCTGTCTGTTACTTTAGATGGAAATAAGGAGCCACTCCCCACGCCCCTCTGAGAGATATTTGGTTAAAAAGAACACATTGTGCTCTTGGAGGAGATTCAGGTGATAAGGTGTGGGGGGGGGGGGGGGGGTTACCTTGGTTGGTGATTGGCTAATGGTTACACAAGCCAAAATCTGATCAGCTCATGTTCAGACAGGTTTCTATATAAATGGATCAGGACAAAAAGTGAGTGAATCTTTTTTCCTGAAATGTTCAGAATCTCTTTACACAGAGGGGACGCATATGTATGTATACAAGACATGAAAAAGTGGATTTTGCATAATAGGTGACTTTTAACACAAACACATCCCCAGTTGTGTTCTTTACAGATGAGCAGATACAAAATAAGAATACAACAAAACAATACAAAAACAGATAACAAAAAATATATCAAAAAGACAGAGGGCATTAGATGAACTGAAAAAGAACAAAGAAGAGAAAAACACTTGTGTTCAAAGGTTGGACTTTGAAACAGCTGTGAAGTGTATTCCAAAACTGGGCATTATAGCTGAGAGTATTACTAACATATGTCTATCCAGTGATCTGAGAGGTCTAGCAGGTGTGTCATGCAGAACGAAATCTGAAATATATGTTGGTCCTGCTCCATTTAAGGATGAATAAACAAGCAACAGTGCTTGAAAGACAATTGTGTTACTTAGGAAAATCCAGTCTTGGGTTAGGGTTCAGAGGTCTGAGGTGGGTTTATTTTGTTTTTGTAAGAAAACCAAGAGCTGTATTTTGTCAAGTCAAAGCTGTACGATAGTCTTTTCAGACCTTTAAAGTCAACCTTTTTGAATATAAAAGCATGAAAGAGTAATTATTTCTTCATCTTTTTTTAACCCAAGGCCTCTTAGTTTTGCTACTTTTTGAGATTGTTAAATCATTGCCTTAATTGCAGTGGCCTAGGGGGAGATCTGCCTCACATCTCCTGTCTATATTTAACTGTTGTTATAAAAGCCTAAAAAACTATCTTTAATAAAATCAAATCAAAAGCAAATTTAAGTATTATTTTCCCAAGTGTTGTGAGAGTCCTAGACTTTAGAAAATGTTATGTCAAGATGCGTGTCAATCTTAAATCAATTACTGGAGATAAAATAATCCACTCTTCCCTGACAGGATGATTAACTTAAATAATAATAAATTAATATTCAGACAAATTACAACAACCTTGACCACCGATTGTAATCCACAGTTCACACACAAGCACCAGTGATTGAACAATGTCCCTTTGTAGGTCTATTCTCAGGCTGCTTTATAAATGTCATTTGTGTGCTGTGACTTTGCATACATACCACCAGCGTATGAAATATTCAAAACACGACCTTTAAAAATGGTGGGAGAAAGAATTGGAAACTGAAGGTACATGTACAGTACATGGAACTGCACTTTGTAGATTGTCTATGTGGATTTATATCACCCAGGTGGAAATCTGACCGGGTAAGAACAATGTAGGTGTGAAAGTAGATTATGACAAGACATCTAAAGGTGCCAGAAATATGATCATAACATGAGCACCCAGCTGGTTTCTCAGAGATATAACACACATCAACAACTGTAATGCAGTTTAAGGGACCATTTACTGTTCCATCCAGATGCAAAATGTGAAACCCCTTGTTGCTCTATTCCATTTGACCTCTTTTAGTGAAATGGAAGAGGCAGTACGACTCAATTTCTCTCCAAATATCTAAGAATTTGCCAAAGAAAGCTCAGTCTTCCCTCCTCTGTTGTGAAGTGCATCCATAAAAGACTGCACTCAAGTGTGAAAACAGTATACAGCAGTTCTTTGGTGCCTGTAGACAAGCTTTACACCGTTCTATTGGATTTCTGAGAAGGCTGAAGCTTGCCAGCTCAGGTTCGCTCAATACCTTCCCACACCTCGAGTTGCTGCTTTAAGCTCTTGTTCGTCTCTGTGTGTGTGTGTGTGTGTGTGTGTGTGTGTGTGTGTGTGTGTGTGTGTGTGTGTGTGTGTGTGTGTGTGTGTGTGTGTGTGTGTGTGTGTGTGTGTGTGTGTGTGTGTGTGTGTGTGTGTGTGTGTGTGTGTGTGTGTGTGTGTGTGTGTGTGTGTGTGTGTGTGTGTGTGTGTGTGGTGTGTGTGTGTGTGTGTGTGTGTGTGTGTGTGTGTGTGTGTGTGTGTGTGTGGTGTGTGTGTGTGTGTGTGTGTGTGTGTGTGTGTGTGTGTGTGTGTGTGTGTGTGTGTGTGTGTGTGTGTGTGTGTGTGTGTGTGTGTGTGTGTGTGTGTGTGTTCTCCACTCCACTGCAGCTCACATCAAACTTCACACCTCGCTACTGTAACATCGCTCACCATCCAAATCCCCCACAATAAGTCCTGAAAATCACAGCAAATAATAGGAAGGCATTAACTCTTAGCTAACTAAGAATTGGAACATACTCACAGAGACCAACATGAAGCCACTTTGTCAAAAAAGCTTTAAGTAGTTGCTTGAAAAATGATATACATACTGTATTACTTTTGCGGCATCCTATGAGAAAGAGGATCATATTGTATGTGTAGGTTTCTTGGCAACAGTTGCTGTCTTAACTCAAAGTAGACAATCCCTCATTACATTTGTGATTTATCCGATAAACTGTATATAAGAAGTGGACTGTGACATCCCCTACTGGCTTGTTAACTACAATTTGAAAGTCTAAAGTTTGGTGTTTTGCTGCTTGCCCTCTCGGTTTTTGTCCGGAATTGACACAAGAGGGTGGAGAAAAGTAAAACCTAACATTGAAAATAGGACATTTAGACAACCATAATGTCAGAAAAACGTTTATTAAGATAAGATAAGATGGACCTTTATTAATCCCTGTGGGGAAATTCAGGAGTTTATTATTTAAGTAATTTTCTCATTGACTTTGATACAACTGGACTTAATAGTGTTACCAGTTGAGACGCCCCTTCTGGATATTAGAGATAATGCAAGTTTTTGGGCACTTTTGCATCAACTTCAGACCTATCCTGTCTTAATGCCGTCCGCTCCAGGTTACCTATTGTAATATGACTGACAGGGCCACATGCAGAGGCTTCTGGGGTCTCCAGGGGGCCAATGTTTAGCTCGGCAATGCAGGCAATAAACACCTTACCTTCAGGGATGCATTGTGTGTTGATAAAACAGTGTGTGTGTGTGTGTGTGTGTGTGTGTGTGTGTGGTGTGTGTGTGTGTGTGTGTGTGTGTGTGTGTGTGTGTGTGTGTGTGTGTGTGTGTGTGTGTGTGTGTGTGTGTGTGTGTGTGTGTGTGTGTGTGTGTGTGTGTGTGTGTGTGTGTGTGTGTGTGTGTGTTTTATCTCAGGTCTGGCAGAGCTCCAATGCTCAGGGCTAATGGAGTGCTAATGTCCCTGGTGTGCCCTTGTTTACTGAACAGCTAAATACAGGAGGAGGTAGAGAGCGCTCGCCTGATTAAGCATGTCACAGCCTGCAATGTTGAATCACTCTTCTCATAACACTTTCTGCATTTGGTCTCTAAATGGTTCTGCATCAATCCCCACGGGCTGTGCCTCGACGTTTGATCTACTTCACCTGTGATTTATTCTATTGATGTCCACCTGTTGCTTCAAAGAAAGCTCTTTTATTATCCTGACAAATACAATTTTATAATTTAGAAACCAGAAGGAATATAAATGATAACAATGTGTTCAATCAGCATTACAACTAGGCTAATTTAATCCATCAGGTATTTGTATGGTAATTAGCAGGATAGTATGTTTGGAAGTGTGCTGAATACCTTATTAAGGCAGACAGTGGTGCGACTGAAAGACTGATGTAAACACTATATCAGTGATTCTCAGAGTTTTTTTTTATTTTTAAAGTTTCATAGTTCAACAAACATTTCATATTCTTTGAATAAACTAAAAGTGAAACACAAAACTTTACCCTTTCTTTTGATATGTGTGTTTGTGTGTAGGTGTGAGTGAGCTTGTGTTCTCAAATGCACTTCAAACAAATTACCCCTTTTGTTTTGAATATGCCTGTGATGTTTTGTATAGATACAGTTCTATGTCAAATGATTTCATAGTACATATTCTATGTTTTTAATTTGTCTCTCTATAGATAAACTCATGATTTCCCCTCTTTATTTCCACATCAGTGATTGAAGGCATAAACCTGATTCCAATGGACCCCAATGGCGCGTCTGATCCGTATGTCAAGCTTAAGCTCATACCAGACCCCAAAAACTCCACCAAGCAGAAGACCAAGACTGTCCGCGCCAACCTGAACCCCAAATGGAACGAGACCTTTACTTTGTGAGTAATCCACCTGCCAGCCAGAGGATACACTTCCCTTTACAATTTGACATCACAGGTATTGTGAATGTCAGTAGTAAGTTAAGCGACCACCATTAGGGTAACTTTAAAAAGTCACCCACATGAATTATTGAATCATTTGAATACAATACTTGACATTTTAAACATCAACATAATGGGTTCCCTCTCTGTGTTGTGCAGCAAGCTGAAGGCTACAGATAAGGACCGCAGGCTGTCGGTGGAGGTGTGGGACTGGGACCGCACCACCAGGAACGACTTCATGGGGGCCCTTTCCTTCGGCGTGTCAGAGCTCATGAAGGCTCCAGTCGCTGGCTGGTAACGCTCAATTCCATGTTGTTGTTGTGCTCCGAGTCTATTTTTTTTAATAACACAAGTTCAGTGAAAGTCACTCACACTTCACTGCTGTGAAATAATGTTATCGGACACTTGAAGCCTAGATTTTTAATAATACACTTTATTTTTATTTTTTTTTACAATTATTTTGTGTTTTCATTGTGTGCCCTTAGCCAATAAAAAAAAGTTAATGAATTAATCTGACAAAAACAATATGTGTTATTTTAATGGTACTCCCTATATAAGCAGTGTTAGAAGAAGAAGAAGATGAACCTTTAGACATATTAGTCATGAAAAAAAATATAGCACAGGCTCCAAGGCTCCATTATTAATGTAACCCTAACCCATTTTTTGTATAGTAAAACGCAGCTTACATCACAGGTTCCTGAAAACAATGCAACCTCTGAAGCAAACAGTAGTATTAGTTTGGGACTGTGCTGTGGGCATAACTTGTTCTGTAGTGTTTGAGAGGCACAGAAAAAGTGTGTCCCAGAGAAGCAAGAGATTCTCATATTTCACAAGTTTACTTGACAGTGTGTATGTGTCTGCTTCAATGTGTCATACATTGTAAGGAGGTCTCAAATACCCCATGAAACAGAGAAGAGACAGGTTTCCCATAAACTATGTCCAGACCCTATAGGTCAAACCAGTGGAAGATGACAAATGTAGAGTAAAAGAAAGGAAGGTATAGTTTTATTATCTCACAATGTCTTTTATCTGTATATTTCCATTCTTATTATTTCCGTCTTTTCTTCCAGGTATAAGTTATTGTGCCAGGAGGAGGGGGAGTACTATAATGTTCCCATCTCAGAGGAGGATGACGGGAATGAGGAACTCAGGGAGAAATTTGAGGTGAGAATTGTGCTGAAATAATCATTAGACTGTCTGTCTGTGTATCTGTTTGTCTGTCTGTCTGTTGACTTCTTGTCTAGGATCTGTACAACATTATAGCGTGTCCATGATTTGCTACTCAATGCTACTTTTCTGTCTCTGAAATAACTGGCGGATATTTTACATGTGTCAAATCTGACTCATTGCTGTTAATGATGATGCTGTATTTGGCTTTGTGGTTAAGGCCACATCCCATCTGGATACCTTTCCTTAATTCAATTCAAATGTGTGAGTATGAGTGTAAAGGGCTGGTCCAGCTGTTCTTAACTCTAAAACTAGGATTTGATTTGCAATCGATTTGAAATGGTCAAATCAAAGAGATTTTATCATCGAGAGATTTGATCCTGAAGTTGTATCAAAGCAGCCCATCAACAGCCTTATAAAGGTCTTTTTTAAACTACAGAGCAAGTAAAAAAAATAACACTATCATTTGATGCAATTCCTGTTTAATATGGTTTTGTTGTTGTTCATTCAGGCAAATTGTGGTGAGATTGTTTTTATGAAAACACTTTTCATATTAATTGTATAGCAAGCTGTCAAAAAGATTACATTTAGTAATGAAGTTCAAATGATAGTGTAAATTGTAATAACGATTACTGATTATTATGATCGTCATCCCAACATCTTTAGAATAATCAAGTAAAAAGTGTTTTCATGAACAGCATTGCAAATCGGGAGAAAATCATATACTCTTACATTTAATGCCACCTCAACACACATACACACACACACACTCACACACATGAACCTTTTTCAGCAGGAGGCCACTGATAAGACACAGTTGCCTTTTCCTTCATCCAATTTCCTGCACCGGTGTGTCGGCCCTGCTGCGAGCGAAGCCGCTCTCTTTGTGCTCTTCTGATTGTCTGCCTCTCAGCGGGAGCTAAGGTCTCTTGAAGAGGCTTTTGAAAGTTATTTTTCATGACATTTCTGCCACACATATTGGACAGTTCTGGGCAAAAGGAGGAAGAAGGTAAAGGCTAGATCTCAGAAAGGTCATGGTTGATGTTGAAACCAATAAAAATATTCAGAATATATATATATATAATTTGTAAAGAGCGTTTTCCTGTGCTGTCCATTCAAGATCCAGTTGGGCCTCACACTGACTCGTATAAATAAATGATAATAAATGTAAGAAAGAAAAGGTTTAAATTATTGAATGTTCCCAGATATATTTGAATATTATTTATTTTTTAAATAGACATATTTAAGTAACAATATTTAGGTTAGTTTAACCTTGTTAACACAAAATGAAAATGAAGCCAGTGATGAATCGACAATGTCATGTTATATCTCCTTACAGGAAGGGAGGATTATGTTATGATGAGGGAGGATCAGATCAAATAGATAGTGTGAATAAGGTCGGAGAAGAGTATGACCTCCTCTTGCCTTTTCTGCATCTGGTTGGCTTAGTAACATGTCTGCAAGTAAATCATAGTAGTGATGAGATATATATATATTAATGTGAAATATTAGCGTAGATTAGCATAATTATTTTGGGGAAAAGAGACAACACACACAATAAACACAGCTCTCCCAGCTCTCCCAACTCTATTGTAGTTTGTTCTCTAAAGGATCTATACTGTATATTTTATACAAAGTCCTTAACGGCCTCTCTCAGATATAACACACAGAACTCAAATCCTTTTCTTTTACCTGAAAATAATAACCAGCACACTATGCTGTTGGGTATAACTTCGATAAAGGCAGTGCTTTTATTTATTTTGTTAATACGTTTTCCAGTCCCCGGAGGCCTGTACTACGAAGCTGGATTTTCGCTTAGCCGGCTAACTTCAGGGAAATCTCGGGCTTTCCGGTCCTACGACGCTGGTTCTCTTTTTAGCAGGCTAGATTTCCATGGTAACTTATGCTGAGCGGCAAACCTGCTCCGGAGCAGGTTAGGTGGCAGGCTAAGAGATCAACTCAGTGAAAGCACCGCCTGCTGACCAATCAGAGCTCCGTGTGCGGAGTTTAAAGCTATCAATTCATATTACAGGATAGAGGAAATACAGAAAAACTGCCGTTGCAGGAAAGACGTCCGGCAAAAATCAACTGACTGTGAACGTGAAAATTAATAGAATATCCCCTCCCATCTTCAGAGCATGCTGACTATTATAATATTAGCGTTAAGAAAGCTTACTTAAATATCTGCCACGACATAAGTAACCGGATCAGAGTAACATTAAGTACAGTCCGCGGCACTGTGAGTGCAGACGTCGATGTGTCCCATTATCATTCATATCATATCACATCATAATGTATCATATATTTCCTTATTTGAGTCAGCTTCTTGAGCCGTATCTGGCCGTGCAACACTCACAGTGTCACATACTGTATGCAGAAGTATTATTTTAAGCAACACATTAAGTTGACGAAACACTCGAGTCAAATGTAATTAAAGTCAGATCCACTCGTGTCCTAGACAGGCAGTGATTTCATAAACCTGTTAATGTACGCATTCAAACACTTTTTCTTTTACCAGCTGTATTCACCTTGCAGGTGCAGCTATGTGGCTTTTATCCTGGATAAAGTGTTTAAGTCATGGATGTTTAAAGTTTAACTTCTTCATATTTGACTAATATTAAAGTTCACTTTTCATTCAGGAAGTATGACGCTGCGCTGTCAGTACGCTTGTCCGTGTTTGAGATTGGTCGAATGCTCCAAATACCACCCCTTTCATGTGAACGCGCACCTAACTAGATAGGACACGGCTGGCTTGAGCGATCCACTTGATAACCAGCGTCGTAGTACAGTTTAGCGAGAGCGCGTATGTTTTGGATTGGGCCAACCGGCTAACTCAAACATATCCAGGTTAGGTTGAACCAGCTTCGTAGTACAGGCCTCTGGTCTCCAAAGGTTTGGAGTCACTTGACTTTATTGAATCTTTTATGGACAATATATTTCCTCGAGAAGTTCTCTCCCCTTGTTCCTCTTCATAAACCCCCCTGTGGTTCTCTCCTTTTTTCCCCTCAGCCTCCCGCTCCCTCCTGTGTGCTTGGTGAGACCTATACTGTACAAGTGCTTCTTCATCCTGTGTCACGTTGTCATATTTAATGCAAGAGTTTCTCTCTTCCTCTCTCCCCTTCTTGCCCCCATGCTCTCAGGATTGCCATAACTTTAGACTAAAGGTAGCCTTCTCCTCTCCTCTCATTTCCTCTCTGGTTTCCTTGTCAATCTTTTCATTTCCCTTTTCCTCTCCTCTCCTCTCTAACCCTATCCAATAGTTGTATTTCTTTTCATCTCTTTTTCTCCTTCCTGAACTCTCCTCCTCTTCTCCTCTCATGTCTGTCTTGTCGTGGTGACATGTTACTACATTTCTCCTCATTTCTGATCATTTGTTTGTGGTTCCAACCTATAGATCTATTTTACCAACCATTTGTTCTGGGTGTGAAAAATAAGATAAGGACACATATTAAAAAAGCAAATGTTATTGCTCCAATAAATCAATGTTTGTCCAGGCAAACATTGATATTCATACGCAGCTGATTTGTGTACGTTATTGAACATTTCAGCTTTTCTTCAATATACCCGCTGTATACTATGCGTCAAATGAGAGTACATTGATTCTTTTCTATGTGAATATGAATGGTTAGTACATCCTGACATTGTACTGTTCACAGTTCATGGCTATACGCTTGTTTACATGTGTGTCTTTGTGCTCTGTACATGTCTTGTCTATGGCTCCCTCTGCCTGTCAACATTGTGTGTGTGCTTCCTAGAGGTATAACCTGCTGATAGTATTACGTTTACTTATTTTAGGATTTGCTTAAACCTAACCTGCCTTATTTTCTACCTTTCACCTCACATTCTAATTTTCTGGGATTATTAACGAGAGAAATATTGCACACCGGCAACATATTTGGTTTGATTAATAAAAATAAAACCAATGTTGACCACTAGATGTCAGCATTTAACTAAAGTAGAATGCTATACTGTAGTCAGAATAATGAGCAACTGTTTCGTATGTGTGTGTGTGTGTGTTCGTGTGTGTGCTGTCAAGGTAACATATTTTTGTTTCCTTTTTTTCCCCACTCACAAATCATCACCTTGCTTCTTCTTCATACTGGAGGATTGTGATTTGACACCACCCTAAAATTGTCCTGATGTTCACTCACATTCATTAATTAAGTTTTTCCTTTCTCCTCTTCAAACCACTTTCTTGGTGGAATACAGGCAGGATCTGAATACTTCACCTAATTAATGACATCATTCACATGGTTTTCTATAAACCTATCGCGTAGTGTTAGAGATTATTATTTCTTTGTTAAAGATTGATAGATTCAGATTTTTCTCTCCTGGAATAGATTTTGAATAATTTGTATGTAAGGTGTGAACATAACAATTGAAGCAGAGGTCTCCCATCACAGAATGAAAGTTACTGAAAGCAGAAGCACTAACTGTTTGAATTAAATTGAATAAGTGTATGAAGTATAAAATCTGCCCTTACCCAATCCATAGATACTAAATAATGCGGTGCACCCCTAGTTTAAATACAACATTATTACTGAATCTTCATTACATGTTTTTATATTCATAAACACTCTTTGAATCAGCCCTCAACGTCCTGCGTTTGTAAGTGTCTTGGATGAGTCGGCTCTTTTGGCTTACATTATTCTCCAGTGTACTAAGTGAGTCGGCCATTTTGGTTTCAGGACCAAGCAGTTGTGGAAGACTCTGATCAGGTGATTCTGAGAGGGAGGAAGTAAGGCTGCTGCTCGCTCGGCTCGGTCAGGCTCTTTTCATTGGCTAAAGCTTCCAGGTGTGCTGTGATCTGGTGTGGTCTGCTCTGCTTTGCCTTTCTGTGCTGCACTCCCTGGTTAAGATCAGACAAAGGTGGATGCCATTAACCAAACTAAAGCTGCTCAGCATCGGTTGTCTCGAGTAAAATGTATTTTTATTCAGAATATATTTTTTAAAGAAAGCTTTATCTTTCATGAATACATACGCTGATAACAATTGTATCAACAAACAGAGAGAAGTTTCAATGAACTGAGGGTACAAGAAAACATCAAATCATCTTCAGGTTTTCAAGTATTCCTTTAACTGATTCCTGAAGATGAAATGTGATAAATGTGGGATTATGTGTGATGCTGTCTTGGTGGATATCATCCACTTTTCCTGTTCAGGCATCACATGTTTTTTCACTATGTAGTGAAGGCTTCTGCACAGATTTGGGGAAGGATCTTCTATAGTGAGGAAGGACATTTAGAAATATAATACCAAATGGTCCTTGCTACAGCAGATCAATAGCATGTGCGTGTAGATTGGTGTAGACTCTAGGATCAGCATGGTGTGAATAATGGACCTGCCAATCTCGGTTGTGTTCTTGTGCAGACAGGTAGTAGTGTTCCAAAGAGGAGAACAATTAGTTCTTGATCGTGGTTTAGCGTTTAGACTGAACTGTGGTTTTGTTCTTTGGAACATCTTGCTATGGTGGGAGATTACGCATGACTTTGGCATGAAGGAAGTGCATAGAAGACACTATTTTTGCCAATGCAGGTTGAACATGAGAGAATCTTGACTGGACACGATTCGCATGCACACACTGTAGCAAATGCCACAGTGTCCTCTTTGCCATTACTCTAGCAGCCGTCACTGTCCTGGTAAATAAGCCCTCAGTTCAGGAGGAAGGCTTGAACACATTTAAATGCTTTTTTGAGACTTTTTCTATCCTACATAGTCAGATGTGTAGAAGCAGACCAGTTCAGATATTATATCATTAAAAGTGATATGCAATCACACAATATAAATTCCCTTTCGAATATAAAAGTATTAATGTTTCAAGGATGTCTCATAGATATGTCTGTTGGTACTTTCTCTCCACAAAAGGTGGTATTTTTTACTGTAATAGTGTGTCACTATTCTCAGGTTGCCTCCTTTAAGCCATCAGAAAACAGCCAGTACTACGATTTTAATTTATTTAAATTAAATTTAAATTCGTTAAAAAAAAAACGCGATGTTTTCACAGCTTCAGCAATTTATTAGTAAATAATAATATGACAAGATAAAATAAATAATGTGTATATACTCTCCTTTTCTACATGTCAGTACATTCCTGCCACAATGGCACCACAGTCTCATTTCACTTTCACTCATTGATTTTGAATTCTGCTCATCATATGTGTATCGGCGATGTGAGTGAGCAACTAAGCAGTGTGACTGTGTAGGGGATGAAATTAAAACATAGTAAATAATGTTTATGATAATGGCTGTAGTGGTACAAATTTGTAAAACAAACAGAGAAAAGTTGATGTGTTGATCTTGATCTCACATCTTGTGTTGAGAGGAAACCAACACTAATACACTTTGTGTAAGTTTACCATTGGTTCCTTATAACTTTATTACATTTTGTGTATATAATAACCTAAAACAAGATCTACATTTAAGGAATTCAGGACAATAATCTTGTCCCAACAACATAGCCAAGCTTCATTTGGTGTCTGTTTCTCAGGGAGATTTCAAATGGCGGATCTCTAACAAACAAACCCTTTTGTTCCCCGAGTGCAGAAAGCCAAGCTAGGCCCAGGTAAGAAGATGATCAGCCAGACGGACGACGGCCGCTCCAGCCCACAGCCTTTCACCAGCATGAACCAGGTCAAACTTAGCGACTTCTCCTTCCTGGCTGTGCTCGGGAAAGGGAGCTTCGGCAAGGTGAGGCAGCTGTGATCTCACAATACATTTGTTTTACAAGTAAAAGACAGCACAAGATCTTAAAGGTCTCCTATCATGCAAAATGCACTTTTTAATGTCCTTTATACATATATATGTGTCGCCGGTCACAGGGTTAGGGTTAGTGTCAGAAAACAAAACTCCTCTCTTTTCCTCCGTACCCAAATCTAAAAAAATGGGGGTACAACGGAGCTGATCCAGATTTGCATCCGATATGTGTTACGCCCCGGTCTAGGGGAACACAACATAACATATGACGTACTAACGGAAATGTGGGCTGACTTTATACCCACTGCCCTATCAGAAACGTCGCTATCAGAAACAACACGCTTCGTGTTTTGGATGTAATATGGTCTTTGTTTACATTAGCAAGCATCGCTAACACTCAGAGCTAACACTGTACTGGAGAAAGTGTAAAAAAGCAGGAGGAAAAAAAAGGAACTCACCTTGTGGTAAACTCGCAAGAGAAAAAGCATTTGAGCTCCATACTGTTTCAGAAATAATCCTTGATGTGATTTGGAACATGATGGCGTTTAATCACGGCAGCATTTAGCTGTATCTCGTAGAATTCTGAGCAGGCTCAAGCAAAACACATCATAGACATGTTTTTTATATATTTTTATATATCTGAGACACATAATATATGCCTAGAAATAGCATGATAGGAGATTTTTAAGGAATAAAATACAACGCGGTAAACTAAAATGATAACTTTTACAACCTACCTCCCTTCTTTCCCTGTGTGTCTGTCACTATAAAGGTCATGCTGGCAGAAATGAAGGGCACTGAAGAGCTGTTCGCAATAAAGATCCTGAAGAAGGACGTGGTGATTCAGGACGATGACGTTGAATGTACCATGGTGGAGAAGAGAGTCCTGGCCCAGCAGGACAAGCCACCCTTCCTCACCCACCTCCACTCGTGCTTCCAGACTGTGGTAGGTAAAATGCTCCTGGACACGAATCAGGACACTGTAGGTCAGGTCAGGTCAGATTAATTCATGAAGGGGCTTTGAGCTAAACAGCTTAGTCATAAAGTGTTGTAGAGAGCAGCAGAGGACGTGTATGACAAGTACGATTTAAGCAAATAAATAAATAATTGAGACGGGGAAACAAACAAACTCCAATAAGGAGGCTCAGGTTTGTGCGTGTGTACACAAAACATGTGTATGTACGTGCATCTACGTCTGTAGTCATGCCTAAACCAGACCACAAAACTGTATGAGTGAAGTCATGCAGTCTTAAATATCTTTATTTTCTACACCCACACACAAGTAGTATATTGTGCTTGCTTGTTAAAAAGAAACAAATACATACTAGTGCACCCACAGGCGTTTGCATACAATGCATAAAGTAATTCTGCTTTTTCTTTGTGCTTCGCATTGTAATTTAAAACACGAACATGCAAACAATCCCCTATTCTATCTCCCATGTATGTCTGTTAAATCATAGATATATATATATTTTAGCTCTGCTTCAAGACCTATTATATAACAATGCCAGTAATAGAAATGTAGCAAACTGGCTTAGTATAACAGTCTAAAATCAGGCGAGGTCCAGTTATGACATGAACGTAAAATGTGGCATTTTGATGTGTAATGACCCTTTCAAATGTCACCAGTTATTAGCCATCCTTTAGAGTTAAAACGCTAGTCCAGCCATTGGTTTGCTCAGGATGCAAAAGGAACGTCAATTAGCTGCTCAGAAAGGCTGAGCTGAACTATAGCAGCTGATTAGAGCTGTAGCACCAGCAGGCTGACAGAGGAAATAGAAGGAGAGACAGCTTGGCATCACTCATAGCATATTCATGCACACACACACAAACATACTCGCACAGTTCACAGTTCATTCTCCCACATACAGAAACATGAAGACTATCTCACTCGCTCACTTTCACAACCTCTCAAGAATTTCCACAATTTCTTTGCAGACCCTTTTTAGAATCCTTGCCGGCACTGCTTTGTTAAGATACTGTGAGTGAAGACTGTAAGCAGCAAAAGATAATGATAGATGAAAGCAGCACATGGAACACCAACATAATGTATCTCTTAATGATACCACAGCACATCAAAGGAACATAAACTGAGTAAAGTCAGAATAACTTCATTATTTAACACTTCAAAGAGAAGACATTTAAGAATTCCCAGTCATAATTTATGTTTTGCAACTCTTTGCTACGACCGCAAGTGTTTAGCATCTATTAGAATGACATTCAGCCCAAGCTACTTTAGAGAGCCACTATCAAATTAATCAGCACAACATCGACGAGAAAAAAATACTTCAAAAAGTTGAAGAATAAGATAGATAAGATACAATGTGCAGTTTGTTTGAAACACTATCATCTTAGTGCTGCGAGCATCAAAGCTCTTACAAGTCCAAGGACAGATTCTCCTTTGTTAAACCCGATGGGGAGGTCAGCTTGGTACCTTACACTTGGTTTGTGTTTTCCTAGTGAGGGCCTGTCAAACACAGCTAGACCAGGGTCAGGGCAAGTTGTCATGGGGAATAAAGGGCCGGCACTATCAGACAAATAGGATATCTTCTGACAGATGCTTTGTTGTGGGCTTTTTAGGTCACCTTGTTATGGAAAGTGTAGCGGCTACTATGGAATGACTCAGACAGCAATATTAGGGGAAGCTGTAACACTGACTGCAGCACTGTCAGTGAAATAGAAATCTAGAAAAGCTGTTGTGGAACTTTAATGTTGTTGTTTTTTTTGTGGCAAAATAATAATGTTGCACATTTTTCTCTCCCTAAACCCTCTCCGCTGCCCTCTATTTCGATAACTACAGGACCGTCTGTACTTTGTCATGGAGTATGTGACCGGAGGAGACCTCATGTACCATATCCAACAAGTGGGCAAGTTCAAGGAACCTCAGGCAGTGTAAGACATTTCAATTTTACTTTATAGTGGATCATTTTCTACTGTCAAATTGGCATTCAATGTTAATTGCAGTTTAAGATAAGTGTTATTTGAGTTTTCTGTGAAGCACTAGCTTTGACATTATATGGCAATCTTGTCATTTATCTCATGGAATTCATTCTTGAATACTGGAATATCAGAGCTGTAAGCGATCTGAATGTAAAGTTGCCTTGTGTTTTAAGTCTGTAAATGTGTGTTTGTTATTTCAGGTTCTATGCAGCTGAGATTGCTGCTGGTCTCTTCTTCCTGCATCTTAAAGGAGTCATCTACAGGTGAGCATTAACTAGTTTACATAGTGCCTGCTGTTCTTTAATCAGTGGCCAAACCTGAAGTTAAAAACAGAAATGCTATGCGATAATTAATATTTGTTTCACTAACACTCTACCATAAAAGTGAAAGCCCTTGCATTTGTTTTTTGTAACCACCCAGCAGAAGCAATCGAGGTTTGATTTAGCTAAATAAAAGTTAGAAATACTCAGTCAGTGTAAGAAACCTACTGTAACAAGTCGTCATTACCTAATGTTCTTTTGAATGTCTGTGTCTTTCCTCAGAGATCTGAAGTTGGACAATGTGATGCTGGACTCTGAGGGACACATTAAAATTGCTGACTTTGGCATGTGTAAAGAGAACATGTCAGAAGGAGTGACCACACGCACCTTCTGCGGGACTCCAGACTACATTGCTCCAGAGGTAAGGCTGAACACTGAGAGATTTGTGCGAGCTGCGTGTGCACGTTTTGATCCGTGAACTCGTCTCTGTCACTGTCCGCCTGAGCTTGTGTCATCCTTGTGCTTCAGATTAAGGTCACTGCCTCAGGACAGCTACACAAAAACACACACACGCAAGCACTCTCTCGTGACTTAAGCTTCCCAGTCTGACAGACGCTCAGTGTGTCCGCTGGCAAGTCCAAATGTAACCCAAACATACATGTTGGGGTCTTTGTGTGTTTCAATAGGTTTTCCCTGCTGCAAGTTTCATCCTTTTATTAGAATGTTGTTTTGATCAGTTTTGGACTTGATCATTGAATTCAAGGCAAATCCCCTTGACAAGATCATTTGTGATCTATTCATAAATGTTTACTTTCTGCATTGTTATGATTGGTTTAACAATCATAAAGGTAAACATCTCTAAGAGTGGAAGTGCCCCAGCCAATGAGGTGCTAAACAAAAGTGCTGCCTGTAAATCATGGGATGTGCTTTGTTTCCATGATTCAATGCGGTAATGATTATCTTTCCGTTATCAGTTAGTTGCTTCTATCAAATGGTGGGTTGGGTTATTGATTCTCTCTAAAAAAGAATCCCTCAGACAGACCGGGAGGTTAATTTTGTCCAGTAGACGCAGGGTGGACATGCTGTGACCACTCAGAGTCAGACTGACACTAATGTGCCAGTCAGGGATGACACAGCAGGGAGCGGCTACTGTTTCCATAGCAATGTGAGCCGATGCACACATTTAATGTCACACACACACACACACACACACACACACACACACACACACACACACACACACACACACACATGATGTCACATGCATGACAGAATCACATGTACCTATATTTCTGCATATGTATAGTCAAACCCTCTTAAATACATATTAATCAACTAGACACACTCTAACACACACTCAAAAACCCTCAAAATGGGAGTTTGACCATTTCTTCAGTGGTGAATTTTTCAGAGATAATTGAGATAAAGTGCTCCTCAATATCTCTGGACAGAAGGACCAGTTCAGTTTTCATATACATAATGAACACTTATTTGCAGAGTTGTTTCATTGCCCTTGGTCCATCTCTGAAAATGTTGATAAAGTCACAAAAAGTCCCATGTACCTATACATTTTATTGAATCATAAAGTAACATTGAATGAAAACACTCAGGTACAAGTAACTCAAAATTGTACTTATGTACAGTACTTTGTAAGTTTACTTTGTTACTTTCCACTCAGATCATATCACATAAGAAAACATTTTAAAATGACCTTAATAATAGTACCATAGTAATAATGAAATAATAAGAAATAATTAGTGGTCACTCACTGACATGCATACAATCACTGTTATTATGCTTAATGAGATCATAAGTTGTGTTAAGTTGTTATTGCTTTAAAGAGGCCCTATTATGCTTTTGGTGGTCCTCCCTTTCCTGTAGTGTGTTATATAGGTTTTTGTGCAAGTAAATGGTCTGCAAAGGCTAAAATCCCAAAGTTCCCTCCAGAGGGAGTTTCTCCCCCCCCTGCCAGACACGCCTCGATTGGACTCATTTGTTTACTTCCACCGGCAAGCTGGCCAATCAGAGTAAACTGGGCTCTGGTTTCAGACAGAGGGTGAAAAGAGGTGCTGCAGCAGAGCCCCCTTTAAGTAGTGAAACAAATCGAATAAATAGGGAACTTTTTTTTAACTTCACTTCAAGCTTACAGTAAGATGAACCTTTTATAATAACTTTTACACCCCCAGCCACCGCTGATCAGTGGCCACCTCGTACACAATAAATAATTGTGTTTTTTTCTTAGTATGCCTGGAATAGCTGTGGAATAAAACAAATATATTTCCATACTGTTTTCGCACACACCTGCCCACACGCTCATTGCTCTAGAGACACACACACACACACACACACACACACACACACACACACACACACACACACACACACACACACACACATACACATACACATACACATACACATACACATACACATACACATACACATACACACACACACGCAGGTGCTGAAACACAGGTTGCTCTGACCTACATAGCCAGTCATTGGAAGTTCCTGTCAGGGAGAAATGCTTTCTCTAATGTGAGTTTACACCTCAATGACTTTGACACAGAGAAGAAGAGATAGCAAAGAAGGGGGGGAGGACAGAAAAAGATCACAAAGGACATAAGGTATTGAACTGTGAGGGAAAGAGCAGAAGGGGACAAGAGATGTCAGAAACTGAAGAAGACAAGCAAAGGAAGCAGGGTTAGGGTTGAAATGAGAAAGCGTGACCTAATGCCGGCACTGTGCAGCATCTAAAGATGTTCAGCTGTCTGACTCGGGCCATTTCCCTCTTCGCCCTGGTTCATCCCTTCTGCAGTGTGGCATGAGAAGGCATCGGTGTCCACTTCCCTGCTCGCTTGCTCTTTTTGGGCTGGAAAAATGGTGTTTGTAGTGTCAAGATGATAATGTACAACGGAAGTCATTAAGGAATAGCCCCTTTTTGGAGCTTATTATAATGTAGCATGGTTGGTGTTGCTGCTCAAAGTGTTGATGTGTTAAAATGCAGGAGGAGAAACAGATGAGAATTTCCAGTACAGCTTCAAAAACTTTAAGAAGGAAGGACAAAGTCTGAAAACTCAATGTAATGTTATACAACCATCATTAATATGGAGTCTTTTGTTTGGGATATTAATGTTCTCTCTAAATGTGTTCATTTACTTTAATGAAAGGATGTTATTCATTTTGAAAAATAGTTCAAGTTCAGCACAGGCGCATAACTTTGAATGGTATACCAATCTACGTATAATTATTATTTATATGGTTCAGCTTGAGGCGTCTTTGTCGGGCACGATTAATTGAATAATGATTGTGGCTGATCCTGAAAAGTTTGAGGGTTAGAAAAAGCAAACCATTAGTCACAACAGCGTTCTTGTTAAGGAACTTGTCCTTGCAATAGCAGCTCCAATTTTAACCTCCTCAAACCAGGATTTCCAGATCAGCAAAATCACTTCAGCTGTGATTAGAAAAAGGAGTCGGATGTGTTAAAAGGTCGGGGGGAGAAGGAGGGGAAAAAGTGAAAGTGTGAAGGAAACTGCAAATGAGAACCAGCATGAACATGCGAGCTTCCTGCAAACAAGTTGTCAGCTTTACAAAAAGTTCACTTGTCTGACGGATTATTAAAATATCCAGTTATTAGAGATATTATCTTTAATATTCTTCACATCCTTTAGTTTTATGGTTTCCTTTCCTCATAAACCCTTTTTGGCTCAGGACTACAAAACACATTTTTTTCGCTGATGACATGTGTATACATCATGTGCATGCCACCACAATACATTATCCCCTTTAGTTTTTTGAATAACATCCTTAGCTCATGACATTATGCAACTGAAAATAGATTTATGACGCATTCAGATAAATATTTTACAGTGTCAGCTATAATACATCATATTCTGATGTTGTTCAGTTGAGGTGTTACATTATAAAAATAGGTGCTCAGTTTTGGTATTTTTTATTTTAGAAGAAATGCAGCAGAATGTCTATAAACTGCAGTCTGATTATCATTAATATGGTGTCATGTTGGGTTTTGAATACAAATATTATTCTACATTAAGTCAACATAAGTGAAGTATTTTTTTAACAACAGAAATCAGTATTTAGAAATGTTTGTTACGGAGTGCGGGGAAAAAATACGTTATATTATTGAATGAAGAAATGAAAGCAACCACAACAGGCACATGCACTGGTGGTGACAAAAACAGCGTATTAAAGCGTGGCCTGCTGCACACTGAATCTGCTCCACTGCACACACACTCCTCACAGGGATCTGATGGAAACAGGGAGGCTGATAATCACGCAGCACCCTGTCACAGTGTTGATCATGTGGTCGCTGTAGTGTGTGTGTGTGTGTGTGTGTGTGTGTGTGTGTGTGTGTGTGTGTGTGTGTGTGTGTGTGTGTGTGTGTGTGTGTGGTGTGTGTGTGTGTGTGTGTGTGTGTGTGTGTGTGTGTGGTGTGTGTGTGTGTAGTTGTGTGTGTGTGTGTGTGTGTGGTGTGTTGTGTAGTGTGTGTGTGTGTGTCGTGTGTGTTGTGTGTGTGTGTGTGTGTGTGTGTGTGTGTGTGTGTGTGTGTGTGTGTGTGTGTGTGTGTGTGTGTGTGTGGTGTGTGTGTGTGTGTCTGTGTGTGTGTGTGTGTGTGTGTGTGTGTGTGTGCGTGCGTGTGCGCGTGTGTGGTGAGGCAAGTGCACTTGAATAGCTAGCAGTCTGATCCACAGCTGTCATGTAGCATCAGGCCTAATGTGAGAGATATGTCTGCACCGATGCCCATGTACACACACAAAATCACAAGTTCACAAACTGTTCAATCTCAGGTACACATGCACACAGATACTCAGGCAAGCACGTTAAATATGTTTTGACTCAGCTAGATATTAAAGAACAAATACATGGATAGAAATGATTAATCAGAATAAACATGAATTGTTATGCTATACACACTAAACACACACACACAGATCTACTGCAGTGAATCATAGAAGCTCTTCTTGCCAGAGGCTGTCATACAATAAAATAAAAATACAACAGGAGAGAGCCCTTTATGTCTGTATCAGCCTCATGCAAACAGAAAAAACAAATAAACATCTGTGTACATAATATATAAATAGAATGCTACAAATCTAGACTCAACACAGTGGTTCAGAGCACGAAGGTCACAATGCCTGAAACTTTAAATGCCGCTGGTGTTGTGACACACAGGCAACGGGTGGCAAGGGCAGCAAATCACATGGAAGTCACATTAGCTCAGCCCTGTGCACGACGGCCTGCAAAGGATCCAAGCAGTCGCTTTCTGCTGAACTTTAATTGTCCTTTCTTTTACATTTTATTTTGCTTCACTCCCATGTCAAAGATGTTTAGCAGGTATTGTTTTAATGTCCCTCTCAATCGTAGCTTAAAGCGGAAGCAATTAGCACTTAACAGCTGAGGCTGATGGGAATGTCATTAATTTTAGTAGTATTGCATTATATTTCGGTAATTTATTAAATGGAAAGCATCTGAAAAGCTGCTTCTTCCTCTGGTACTTTCTTCCATTTCTTTCTCTACTTCACTCCGCCCCCTTCTGACTCTCTTCCTCTCTGTGTTCATTCCCATGACACAAACCAACATGAGGCTACAGGTCTGCTTGCTACATTGACCTGATGTGTTTGCAATGTTTAACCCTTTATTTCACGTAGTTTTTCAAGAGAGACTGTTAGGTACAATCTTAGAGACATAGCGTAACAAATATGCCACATTAGGTTTTAGAGTATTAAATAATAAATAAATAGGATAGCTTTTATTTTTTTGTTTAGAGGTGAGAGTAGAGACCCAACATATATTTGTTTCCCACTAAGGCCGTCTGCTTTCAGTTTACAAGGATAAGCAGTCATCCTAGTTTCTCACACACATTGAAGTCGTTCAACAGTGTTAGTTCAACATGTGAAAATCTATCTTCAGAGAGCGTAGCTGAATTCATAGGCAGCCATCGGGTTAGGCTGAAGGTCGACATGAAGCAGGTTTTAAACAGGCAAGCTGAGGGACTTCATCCAGAGGCTTCCCCTCACCATGGAGTCTATGACCCGGGAGCAAATTAACAACATCATGGCTAGATAAAGGAAGGGGGCTTTTCCCGTCTCCATCTTCCTGCCTCCTAGCCAAATGCAATCGAAGGGTGTCAGTTTAACATTGGGCTGTCACTATGGCTTATTGTCTCATTCTTATTCTGTTTCATGTGATTGTGATGTGTATAAGTAGTAGCTTGTGCAAATTCACTGATGGAGCTCGTGGAATAGAGAATCTATATGTATAGCAGTTGGCATAACTTTCATGTTTCGTCAGGATCAAGAAAAGCATTATAGATATAATGCCTTACTGTCTCTCTAAACATAATTTGTTGATTCTACGTGTGATGACCTTTTTTGAGTTCATGATACAACTCTCACTGAATGTACTTTCTTTTTTAGATTCAGCTGAGATAATCCTTAATGTTACAGTAGAAGGAACATTAATTATTTAAGATCATTTTCATTATACATCTTTGCAAACTCACAATTCACATATTGGATGTGAATTGTGAGTTTTTGTGATACTTTTGTAAATGTTCCACTGAGGTTCTTTGTGTCTCTGCCTGGACATCAGTAGTGTTCAGTCTGCCTTCTACATCTGAAAGACGAAAATGTAGTTACCTGAAAAAGCCGTCTCACATTATTTTCTGGAAAAAAATCAAACATAGTCAATCCATCTGTAAATCAATATATAATGTAGTTAATGTACCTCGATCAGCAGCCTGCAGAGCCTCCACTCCGGCATCTGTGTCTTCAAGCTCATTTCCGAGTGCTGTCAGTCTGCCATTCAACTCTATTTGATCAAAATGAGGAGCTAAATATTGAATGACTTCAACTATTTAGTCGACCATAAATCTTTGGGTAAGATAGAATGAGCTGAGATGAGATGAGGAAATCTACTTTGCCTGTCATAAATAATGAATTTGTTTGTTGTATACCTTCACTTTCTTTCTGCAGTTCTCTCACTCGTTTGCTTTGGCCCTCCAAGTCACTGGCATCCAGTCTGGCCTCCATTACTGCTCAGTGAGGATGGAATAAAAATGATTAGAGAGAACATATCAAACAATTCCTAGGCTAATATACATATAGAGATTGCAGGAGTCAACTTTATTCTTTATATTTCAAAAAAGCAAAATATCAACCTGCTTCTTCATTCTATAAAGTGCCCCTATTTGTGTTATAAATATTTAAAAACGGAATTAATTTTGAATTTGTGGATAAGGGTACCTTACCTGTGTACTGCCGCACAACTTCCTGCACCTGCTTCCTCTGCTCCTCTCGCTGCATCTCACTGACTCTCAGCCTGCTCTCGTGGTCTTTGTTCATAGAATTGAAAGAATGCAATAGGTAGTGATTGTAACCTTCCAAAAAAACGTTCACATTTCAACAACATACAACAGCTTTGATTGAATTGAATAGTTGTTTTGAAACTGTAAACACAAACATGTTGATATCATCAAGCGCATAATGTAATTGTGCTCTTATTTTCATGCACGTGTAATGCCTGTCTTCAGTGCTTCTAGCTGCTCCAATATTTCTTCCATCTGGCTGTCACCGACTGTCCATTCTATACAGTAAATTACACACATTTTGTATTACAGTATAATGAATGTGAGTGAATGTGGAATATTTCAAAGCCATAAATGAGCACAACAGATATTACGCTGATAAGTCCAGTACTATGCAAGATTATCTGCAGACAGACAAACAGACAGGCGCACACAACCAAACACATGATCTCCCCATAGGCCTGGCAGTGATTATAATCACCATCAACGCTCCCACCTCCGACACATACCCTGTACTTTTTGCAGCTGCACCACTTTCTCTCTGGTGTGGCAGCTCACTTCTCTGTTCCTCCAACGCAGCCATCATCTCACTGAGCAGAGTGAAGATATCTGCTTCAGTGGTCTCATCCTGAGTGTTTGTGATAGCAGTGAACCTCTGTCCCAGGATGTTTGCCTCAGACAGGCGGCAGCCAAGCAGAACTAGTAAAACAACCCTTATCTCTGTGGACTGTAGGGCTGCCACACCTCTGGGGCTTTTGAGTTAGGTGGCCGTGTGAAAAGTGATGTAAGCTCTGTATGTTTACGTGAAGTTGACCATCTGAAGTTCATGAAACATGTCAGCTAGGGTTAAGGACAAAGGTGTTTTGATAAAAGGCCTTGAAGGACATTAATAATAACGGCCCTATATATATATATATATATATATATATGTGTGTAGTGATCCGTTACTGTCTTTAAAAGAAACATCAGAAATACCTTCATTTGTATTACAGTCCATATTAGATGTGTTGAAAGTGTTGGGTTTGTTTTCCAAAATGAAGACCTGAATTGTTAGTGTTTAACAAAGAAAACATTGTTACATGATAGACATTAAGATGCACATTTCCATGGACTTAGTTTCAATTGAAGGCAACGTAAATTAATATAATTTTACAGGACCGTTTCAGTATTATTAACTCCGCCAAGGGAGTCAAATATTCGGTTTGTTTGACTCTTTATCAGCAGGATTATGAAAGAAAATACAAGCCAAATGTTTATTAAACTCGGGGGAAGGATCCATTATCGGAGTGGATATGAATTACGTTAGCGGATAAACAAACAGTTTTTCATTTTTCACAACTATTTTTTGCGATGTAGGGCATGGCCTATCTTTCAATGTTAACGGTAATCTATGCTATATGCATTCTTCCTGCTTCTATTCTGTAACTCTCACAGTTAAAGTGACATTCAAAGACATATTGGTGTATGTGAATGCAAGTTTGTGTTCATGCATGCATTTATGTATGAGGCTAAACACGTGGATGTAAACCGTGTCCAGCTGACTCCCACTGAAACTCAGGACAGCGTCATGGCAGTGAGCGAGGGCATAGTTGGAGGTGTGTTTGTCCACCGGTGTGTGTGTGTGTGTGTGTGTGTGTTTTTGTGTATCCCATGGGGCAGGGCAGAGGTCAGGTGCTAAGCAGCAAAGGTTAAAGAGATACAGGACGGATCTGCTTCCACCCACTTTTGCACATATGTGTTAGCTTCATGTCTGCATGTAGAGTGTGTTAATAATTGTGCATGTGTGTGTGCTTCTATGCTGGAGGAGTGTCCCAGGGTAGCGTGTGTTCAGCAGAGATCAGATTTTACTACAAAAGCCAGCGAGCATATATGACACTCGTGCTGCAACACACCTAAAATTGTTGTCTGTGGGTCACCATATTGACCTTAACATCTCTTACTGTATGTGTTTATGGATGCACATAAATGTGTGGTTTTAAAATATGTGCCGTGTGTAACCCTGAATGTACGAAGCTGCAGCAGCTGTAGTTAAATGGCATAAGAGTCTCATGAGATGGTTGGGTGTGAGGTGTTAATACAGTGTGTTTGTGTCTTCAGAGTTGTGGGAATAGGGATCAAAGCGGGTGAACGCATTAACTTTGAACAATGTCAGAGGCACCCTCAGGAAATCCTTTTGTCACCAGAGAAAATGTCACAGTTGAGAGGCCTGTTTAATAGGATATCCAGATGAGATTATTATGCTGGTGTGTTACAAAAACATTTACCTCAAATTAAAACTGAGATTGCAATTTATATGTATGGGAACGTAGTTTTGTAGGAGGCAGGATTTCAAATTCAAACCTTTTCCATGTTCTTGATCACTCAAAAAAACGAAGTGATGAAGTAAAAATCACTAGGTCAAGTGTTGACAGTATTTACAATATGTGGACAAGACGACTTCACAACAAAACAAATGTGATTGTTAAACCGTTGAGCTTTTTTTGTGTGCAAACAAGTGTGAACTATGTTTTTTTAAAGCTTCAGCTACATCATCATCATCATCATCATTTGAAAAATGTTGTCATATTCTGTGAAATGATAATGCAGTGACAAATTCTTGTTGCAGGTCATTTAAAATTAATGCAATTCAGGGCTTATCCAGCATTATTTGCAAAACCTTGTTTTATACATATTTTCTGTCTGTGTCCAATCCCTGTATGAAGAGCTGTGAACTGAGTTTATAATGAAACAGGATTTTCAGGTCTGTTTTCAAACTTTATACGAATGTGTCTTCAGCATTTTAAGGCACTTTTTAATCTTCCTGTGTAGAGTAAAGCATCTTTCAAATTTAAATTACATTTTTGGATAACAAACGAATCACAGTCTGCAGCCTGGCTGTCACACTCGGATTCGGTATGGAAGAAGAAAATATGGAGGACAGGTCATGTTCTGTACATTTGAAATATGCATCAAGGCAGCACATTTTTCTACTCTCTACCTTTAAGCTAGATTAGTGTAACCAAAGAAGGATTAAAGCATTTTTGACATGATTGACTAAAGTTTTTTGAGTTATTCTGAATTTGTTCTCTTCCTTCTTCCACAGATCATTGCATATCAGCCATATGGACGCTCTGTAGACTGGTGGGCTTATGGAGTCCTGCTCTACGAAATGCTGGCAGGACAGGTGAGGGCCACCAAACAAGCGCACACACACACACACACACACACACACACACACACACACACACACACACACAAACACACTCCACATGGTACTTGTTATGTCATTAAACACAAGTTTGCTCACAGACTGCTCACACCCACAACATTCCCACTTTGAATTTTCCCAAGAAGCAAGTCCTGCATTTACTCAGGTGGTGCCTCCTAAGACTTTCCCAGCAGCCCTAATAATACACACTGACGCACACACAAACCCCCCATCTCCCCGCCAAACATAGGGCATATTCAATTCAGTGAACATTGGATATGACCTATGTTGCCCTCTTTTAGTGAAGTCAGACACTCATTTGTGTATGATTTTGCATGTGTGCACAAAAAAACCCGCAATTAAATGTTGAAACTTTTTGAAGTTACTGCTAGCCTGTTCAGGTGCCGCTACGTTTCTTTCCAGGGATTTTCTGTTTATGATGACTATGTGTTGTCTGAGATGTTTTAACATGAACTTACAACCACATTTAAGTGGTAATTATAGTTGAATCTCAGACCATGTTGAAGATAAAAAGACTAATCACAACTTTGTGAAATGTGCAGCTACTGTATACAGTAGCTTAATATGTATCATCCATCTTTACAATATTAATTTAAATTGCCTCAGGATAGTGTTTACACCATTTCAAAATCTCACCAAATCAGATGGGTTTGAATTCTTTATTGACAGATTTTCAATTAAACATGTTTCCAAGACTCAACACTAAATTATTTAATAAAGCATGTATTACTTATGGAACTGCTACCCCCGCGACCCGACCACGGATAAGCGGGAGAAGATGGATGGATGTATTACTTATTTACATGTTTTTTAAGTGACTCCCCTTCATTAAGGCCAACATCGTGTAAGTGCAAGTACATGCAATAACATGAACATGGGTATGTTTTTTCCCTCCCAAATGAACTCCATAGCAAGCTGTTAAACAATTTACAAAATGTTAAACTTATTGAGACGTTTCCTTCCTCTGTCTTTCCCTGCCTTGCGTGAAATCAGCTAAAGAGGGCATGACGCAGACAGGCTATCTCTGCCCAAAGGGGCCAGTGGAGTGGAAATGACAAATAATTCGTTTTATGGAATGTCATAACACCCATATTATGGTTACTGATGATAACCACCCAGTGAGCACGAGAAAAAGCTGGGTCCTCCACTCCATCTGCCCTGCAAGGTCTTCCTGTGAAACCTGCTCACATGAACCACGTATTTGTTGTTTGGTGTTTTATATCTGTCTTTTTCCTCTTTCCCGTGGTCTCCACTATTCTTCCTCTTGGCATCCTGTTTAGTTCATTTAGAATCCTGCCTCACATTCATTAGGGAAAACCTTTTTCATAACATTTTCAAACAGAGGGCATGAATGACATTAAACAAATATTGGTGCCATTGTTCATGATGACACGTCACTTTTGTCAGTGAAAAGGCCGTCAAGTAAACAACAATAACTTAATCATCCGTTATGTGACAATGGATGAAACACCAACAACACTCTCAAAATGATCTCCTCTTTCCAACAGCCTCCGTTTGATGGCGAGGATGAAGATGAGTTGTTCCAGTCCATTATGGAGCACAACGTGTCCTACCCCAAGTCTATGTCCAAAGAAGCTGTCTCCATCTGCAAAGGAGTGAGTAAACATTCTTTGTCATCAATAAAAACATGTTCTGCTGCTAAAAAAACGTTTTTGTAGATAACTTGAATCCAAAAACATGATGATAGGTAAGTGTATTGGGTATTTACAGTATATAATGTTTACATTGTACAATGTCAGTGTTGCAGTGTTTTTCTGCTAGTTTATCTAGGGATCAAGGTTAATCTAGGGAGAAACACTGACAGGCATTGTCACCGTCTGCTGCAAGACTTTTCTCAGACTTTAGGAAGTGTAGCTCCATTTGCTCTAAGAATGACGTGTAGGCTTTTTTAAATACTGTCTCGGAAGTCATCTTCAAGTTGTCTACCCTTTTCCCGCTCAGCTCTCGTGTCTGTGACGTTTGCATTATTAAAGCTTTGAAGGGAAATATATCAGGTCCTCCAACATACTTCTCAAGGGCATCTGTAAAGTAGTTCAGTGATTTTAGTTTCTTAAAAGTTTTTGCAAATAATCTTTAGCCATTTTACAGAGCTTGTTCTAGTAAAGGTTTAATTCTAAACACAAACTATTTTAGTGGCTACTTAAGAACATACTGTTCAATAACACTAAAGGATATTGAGAGCATATTTAGCATTTGGAAATATACATTTGCTTGATCAAGATAAAAAAAATATATTTGAGAAGTTGTTGTCACTTTCCCACAACCTTTATTAACAGAACGCCTCAGGTGCGGACAGTTGGCCCCTCCTGATAACGTGAAGATATTGAATAGTGAATCACCAGTGATCTGCTGCTGAGAAGTGATTTGTGTGTCCCAGACCCTGAATGTGCAGAACAGATTATAAAAGCAGATTATTTTAAATGTGACGACGTTGACCAGCAAGGTATCCCATATGTTGTACAATATACATTTTACAAGTCAACTGCAAATGCTCATAATATCAGATACCTGCAATTTAGACGTGCAAAACCATGATAACAGGACTTAATACATGACGCGCCTGCTTTATTAAAACCATGCTATGACTTACCTGGCAGCTATAACCAGTCTGCATGCTGAGACTCTATTCAGGGGTCGGCAACAGGCGGACCGCGGTCCGGATCCGGACCCAGACGCCGACCTATACGGACCCGGACCTATAATCAATACATTAATAGGGGATTTCAATTTTGACGGGGCGATTCTATTTTAACCGCTGCCGACAGGGGGCGAAAGAGACGAGTGAGCGATACAGGGAGAGAAACACAGAAGAGACGAGAGAGCGGCAGAGAGAAGTGGAGAGGAAAGTGAGTGAAGAGAATAATTAGCGATACAGGGAGAGAAGCGGAGAGGAGAGTGAACAGGCGTGTTAGCGGCAGACAGGGAGAGACAAATAATTACACATGGCGCTCTCCAAGAAGAGGAAAGTGGACAGTGAGAACAGAGCTTTTAACCCTGAGTGGACGGACTCATTCATGTTCATCCTGCCCACTGGGAACACAGAACCAGTGTGTCTCATTTGTTCAGAGACCGTGGCGCTCATTAAAAGTGCCAAAACGCCACTAGGAGACAAAACACAAAGTGTTTGACCAAACATTCCCTCTCAAGTCAGAACTGAGGTCACAAAAAATAAGCAGTCTCAGAGCCCAATATGATCAGTCCACCAGGATCTAAATTCAAACTAAATATCGTTCCAGCGCAGGCTAACCGAGGCTAACCAATGAGCACCTGCATGTGTGTATGAGAATGGCCCTGACACCATTTCAGCCCAGATTTAAACTCCGGGCAGGACAAGCTCCAGCTCAATTCTCGCACTGAATTAATAAAAAGTGAGTGAGGGACTGCAATATAAGAGGGAAAGAAAGAGAAACTTTAAAACTGTTCAATTGTTATGATGTGTAAAGACTGATATTGTTCTATAATCGGCTGAAACTGTTAAGTCATGATGTGAAACGGTTAACAAAGAAAAAGGGAAACTCAAGCTGCTGCTACACTTTATTTTATTTATCTAAAATTAAGCACTTTTAAGATGCACATATTTTCAAAAGCTATTTTATTTATTTTCTCCTATTTTATTTTTAAATGCAGCCCAGAGAGGAACATTACACATATCCACAGTATTTTACTGTATATCTGTATAGTTCAATGTTAATTGACAATAAATATTGTTGTTTATGAATTGTACTTTCTTTATTTGATTGGCAGTCAGTTGTTGATTACATGCAGACGTTGATAAAGCTGCAGGCTACTTCAATATATATCACACTAATTCATAAAGCAACTTAGACATTTTGATGTTCCAGACCTTTGCATGGGGAGATTTTCTCTAACTGGACTTCGTTGAATTTTAGTTGAATACCCCTGCTCTATATGAACCAACATATAATGTACATGTAAGTCAATCAGCACACCATTGATTAAGGATCCTAACAAACTGTTTATTTTAACATTTAAATTACTCACGGTAACACTTTCTATTAAGGTACACAAATTCACCATCAACTAGTTGTTAATTAACATGCATATTAGCAGTATATTGGCTCTTTATTAGTCATTATAAAACACGTACTGTATTAATGCCTTATTCTACATGACTATATTCTACAAGTAGCTTCTACTGAAGCCAGTCCCCAACTCCGGGGACTTCCGGCCGGGGACTTCGGGTGGCAGTATACGCCGTGAAGTTGTTTGCGGCCTGCCAGTAAACCCAAAGCAGAAGAAGAAGAAGTGACGTCAGCGGCTTCATTTGCCTAATCCTCCCCCAGGGAATTATTCCGGTGTGAACGCGATCTGTACTTAGTTCATGAGAACTAAAGAGTTCTGAGACCTGAAAAACAGGCTTGGGGCTTAACAGGTTAACAGGTTAAGTGTTATTATGGGAGAATTACTATTCTTGTGGTACTACTGCCTTATTAGGCCCATATTGAGCAGAGCATATTAAGACCAAAATTCATGTACAACAACTTCCTTACTTGCAATAAATAAGCACTAATTAGAGGGTTATTGAGGAAAAACTCTCAACTAATGGCTTATTACTTGTAGAATATGGTCATGTAGAATAAGGCATTAATAAGTGTTTTATAATGACTAATAAAGAGCCAATATACTGCTAATATGCATGTTAATTAACAACTAGTTGATGGTTAATTTATGTACCTTAATATAAAGTGTTACCTTTTCTTCATTTTTGGATAGGGAACACTTTTTACTGATCACTCTCCGATCTTCGTGGAGACATTCTAAATAGAGTGTATGACATTTGATGTTGTAGCCCAGCACTGGCCTTGTTTGTTACAATTTTTCATTACATTAAACGGATCTCCTGTGGTTTGTTAATCGAATACTGTTTCCACTGCCATAAGTTCTCCAGAGACAGAGGGGAGTGACCAGAACAGAGGGTCAGGGCAAGTCAAGCAGGGAAATAATTTGTCCAATTTATGTCAACAACACAATGTTTTCAAAAACAAATAACAGAGAAGGGAACATCAACTTTAAAAAAAAGATTATTTCAGGACACTAACTGGACGGCTTCATTAAAACTCGTAAAATGTGCAACATGGAATAAACTACAGTATAAGGCGAACGTCATGTACAGTAGATACGAAATATGAAACACTCCCCTTCTATAGTTTTACCTCTGTTGTTATGACCTACATTCACACTTTGTATCTACTAAAGAAAGAAACACTGGTATATTAGTGCATGGTCATGGTAAGGGGAGCTGATGCAGATTAAATATGGATGAATTTTGCCATAACAGTCACTGATGACATGAGGTTCACCTGAGGACTATTTGATCAATAAAAACTGTGAGTCACTTAGAAACATTGTTCATGTGGTTCATGTTGGTAGAAGCAGCAGTGAAGAGGAGAAGAAACCCTCTGTAATGGTCACACATGCAGAGCACACAGCACACACAGTGAAATGTGTCCTCTGCTTTTAACCCATCCTAGTACCAGGAGTCTAGTACTAGGAGCAGTGGGCAGCTATTGTACAGCACCCAGGGAGCAATGTGGGGGGTGGGGGATTGTCCGGTGCCTTGCTCAAGGGCACCACGGCAGGGCCCAGGAGGTGAACTGAGACCTCTCCGTTAGCAGTCCACACTACATATTTTAAGTCTGTTCGGGGACTTGAACCGGCGACTGACTGAGCCACTGCTTGTAGTCCTTAAAGATACAGCGAGACTGTTCGTAACAGAAGCGGCGACATAAGGATGTGTTAATATACATTTCTTCCTTTTAAATTCCAAAAGTAAGCTCAAGGGTTGCAGAAAAGCACATTTAATTTAAGTGGCATCTTTATTTTTGTCCAGAGGCGGGGCAAATTCACTGAGCTGTGCAATAACACGCTTTGTCTCCTTGTCCTTTCCTCAACTCCACTTGTTTTTCACTGTACCCCTCTTCCCTTTTCCATCCTTGTCTTAGCGCCGCGCGCGTGTGTGCGTGTGCTAGAATGTGTGCAGCACTTACTCTCAATTGATACATAGTGCTTGGATGCAGCCTTACACACAAGAGAGAGGGTAAATGTGCTGGAAGACGAAAAAAGAGACAGAGAGAGTGGTTTGAGGGAAATAAAGAGGGGGAGCGAGAATAACCAATTTTGACAGAAAACTGATGTTCATACAGCAATGTATAATACGCCCTTTGGAAGACATAAGTATCTCAGTGAACAGGACATAAAAAATGCAGTATATCTCTGTATGCAAACATACATATGCTGGTGGAGTGCAATTATACATATAGGCTCTATTTTAAGTAAGCCTGGGTAAACTGTTCAGTTCATTACATTTAAAGTAGGTCACAGATGGAGATACACATTTATCTCAGTAATGGGATGCCACCTAAAGAGGGTCGCCTGTCTGAATGCTGTTGTAGTTCATTATGATTACGGAAAGAGAATCAGAGTGAGACAGATATGAATTAATATTGAGGGTAATATGTGACATAAAGGTCAGTGAAGCAAATATTTTAGTAACTTATTTGAATACATCTCTGGAGATCTTGTGTATTGTCAACACAGAAGTTCGAATATAAAAACTAAAGTGTGGTTTATCTTTATTCAGACGTTTTTCTCGGTAGATCCCCTGGTTCTCTCCGACCACAGCAAATTAATTGGGCTCTAAAGATGTGTGTTTTAAAAACCTTGATGTACTGATCACACATATTTACCTAGCCACAATCTCTGCTGACTTAGACACCCCATCTGCTTTCTCTTTTACTTATTTTTCTCCTTGTCGTATCTTGTGGTTTGATGTTCTCAGCAGAAGCAGCAGGGTAACTTTATAGTTAGCTACACTTTGTGAACACGTGCAACCTCTGTTGACAGTTTATGGCACGGCTAAGCAATTCATGTTTGACTGCTAACAGTTTGCAGACAGAATGATGAAATACTTTGCATGAAATGTCAACACCACATCTTCTATTTTTCAGTAGAAAATCATCAATCACATTTTAACGGCTCAAGTTAAAAATAATCGGAGTGTTTTATTGACATGGTGTCAGCCCAGCAGTCAGTTGGATCAAGGACATTGCAATGTGTAACGGGACTCATTTTAATGGTGATAGAGCCTTGTGTTTGCAGCAGGATGAGTGACATTCGTGTGGACAGACAGAAATCTGCAAAAGTCATTTTCTTCCTCGTCAACAGCTGTCTGATGTGCTCTGCCAGCTGGATGCACTCTGCTAGTTCAGATGGCCCAGCCCACGGCCTGTATGGGGAAGGGGCTTACTGCAGGAAACTGGCCTGCAAAATCCTGCAAGTAGATACAGTATTTAACACTTAAAAAAGATTGTTTTTAGCATGTCACTTAAAATTGTCATGTCTTTTAAACTATATTTTTCTTCAAAAGGTTAAACAATCAGAGATCTGGCAGTGCAGTGGTGTATTTATTTCCTTAATGTGTCTGTACCTGCACCTCTGTTCTTATGCACATTCTTCATACAGTACCAACACATCTAAAGCAATGCTGGGCTGTTTAACAATCTGTTCAATTATATGAAAATACAACTTGTTAAAGTGGACATGTTTTTATTTCGATAGAGGGGATAAACACAACATTTGAATACTGTGCAATGTAATACAAAGCTTTACCTGCATACTCAATTTGTTCTTCCATATTGAAACAGCAGAACTGTACATCTTTAGGAGAAAGAAAGAGAAGGATGAATGCTTGACAGCTTGTATTTTAGAGGAGTTTCTTTCCACCATTTGTTTTGTCCGTGCATTGGACAAAGTTAATGAAAAAGAGGAAGGACATTTTGAAAGTAAAAACAACTTCTGAGTTTATGGTCAGCTTTCGAGAAAAGCTTAGCCAAGAGCTACATAAAACAGTTCTGATGGCTATGTAGCGCTGAAATGTGGTCCGCAGTAACATTTCGATATTGATTAATGTCGAACAAACTGTGTAAGACGAAAATATTGTGTCAGAGGTTGTAGTAAGATAGCTCAAGCATGAGTGATTAACATGTCATATCATTCAGGAGAACACCATGGTGACAGAGCCACAGTGGAAGGTGTGCATCACAAATCAGGGCTTTAACCGGCGGTGCTCCTGTGTACATGCATGCTTTCGAAAAAACATGCATTGCACTTACATGGTAATGGAAGCCAGCCAATATAAGCATTTGCTCAGGCAAACTAAGCACCATTTCTTTTTCCTGAATCCAGTGCATGAATGAATCATTTTGTCCTTGGAATTTCAATGCTGAAACCCACCAGTCTCTCTGTGCGTCTCTACACAGTTATTTCCCTTCCTAAAACAATACCAGAAGGAAAAACTCACTGCATTAAGGTGGGATAGCTAATGTTCAACAGGTGATATTCCATATTGTATACTGTATAAAAAAAAACTGCAGAACACCATCCATTACGAGTAGTGATTTCTTTAATTCCTTTAAAATATGCTTGTTTCCATCTCCAGACCTAGTTGTGTTGTGTTCAGGACATTATTTGGATAGTTATGTTTGAGTAATACCAGAAGGCACCTAGAAAAGGACGTTCATTGTTGATTATGTTCCATGCGAGTATTTTCTTTTATTATTATTAACTTTGTTTGCTTTTTAGCAAAGTGCAAAGGGTGTCCTCATGTTATTAAAATGCTGATTTCATTGTTTATCTGGGAAATGAAATGCTGCTTACTGTATTATTTGCTGAAAGGGATATTTACATAAACATTGATGAATAAAATGAGACGTTTTTCCTTTGAAATTGTGGGAACTAATGTGAATAATGCTTTCCACACCGTAAGAGGGGTCACCACTGTGATTGTCTTTGTTCTAACCTCATGTCCTTTCTGTTCCTTACTATGAGCAGCTGATGACCAAGCACCCATCCAAGCGTTTGGGCTGCAGCACTGAAGGAGAGAGAGACATCAGAGAGCACGCCTTCTTCCGTCGCATCGACTGGGAGCGCCTGGAGAACAGGGAGATTCAGCCGCCCTTCAAGCCAAAATCGGTAAGTGCTATGGTACAGTACATTCACTTTTACACCGGGCAATAGGGTTTCATTAATACTGAATAATCTAATTAAGTATTACACTGCTTGGTATGATTACTGTTATAGATGTCATGATGAGTGGCAGGCCACATTTCCCATTACACTTGTCTGTCTTTCACCAGAGGAATGTTGCTATCTTGAGCCTTTTTTCCTTTGGATGCATGTTGCAAAGTGTGAAATGTCAGCAAAAATGACTTTCTTTGAGACGCACTATTTTCTTTGTCTACACCTTTTCAGTATTTTTGCAACTTTCCATTCATCACAGAATATCACTAACTGCGGTTTTTCCACCTGTTTTTCATGCCCATTTATAACTTTCAAATGGAAAAGCAGGAAGTTTTGGCGAAAACATTTGAAATTTCACAAAGACTCAAGTCGTTTCACAAGTTTTACACTCGGCTGCAAAAGTTCGACTTCTCTTATTTTTAACACAATGTTAAATGTTAGACAGATCTTATATGGCAACAAAAACATTTTCATAAATGGAAGAAATAATAAAAATAAATTTCAATGCATCAACACAACACAGATAAAAAGAGAAGTTAACAAATCCAAATGTATGAACAGCATGAATCCTAAACTACAGATGTGCTCATCACTACAGGACAAGTCTTTTGATGCCACTCTTCACTCCTTTGGGGAGTTCGTGTTTGTGGCTGTTTGTTTACTTGATCCTCACTGCCGTCTTCTCTCATAATTGTCAGGGAAGGTTAATGTTAAATTAAAATGATCAGCTGGTGCATAATGTAGCAATCCAGACAAAGTAAGGTGCCAGTCATAATATGTTAAATACTGACTATTTGGACAAAATTGGCTGCTCAAGATTACATTTTCAACAACAATATTTTCATTTTTGGTGGGGTTTTTAAGTACTTTAAATTCCCCTCACATTTCTCCAAGAAACTCTTCCTGTTAATGTTGTCCGGAACATGTATGCATATCCCGGAAAGTTATGAGATTTGAAGTTTTCATATACACAGTATATTGCAGTAAAAGCATGTTACCTGCAAACTCTAGTGACTAGGGATGGACTAGAGTCTAGTCCATCCCTTTCCTCTTTCTCTCTATCCCATTTTACTCAAGCCTCACATGTAAAGTACACAGAAACACTGTGTCCTCATGCAGAAGTATGGTGTTGCCACAGACTCTAAATCGATCGTGTTTCAGTCAGGACAGTGATTTAAAATCTCTTGTTTTGCAAGCATAGACATGTACCATTCAAAAACATCACACTGCACATAATATCAGAGAATGAAAGCCAATTATAAGATTTTAAACCAGCTCAGGCTAACAAAGCACCATTTCCATTTCCAGTCCACTGGATGAGTCTGCCATTTTGTCCTTACTGTCATTAGTGTCAATACTGAAACCTGTCTCACTGTCTCTATAAGTGTACGTCAATTATTCTCTCAAAAATTGGGGTAAAACTACTGGTGAGAAAAAGGACACAACTGCATAGATGGTTAGTTTCACTTTATTTATTTAGTTATTCGTAGCTGTTATAGTGCATTTTGAGGCAGTCAGCATGCATAGTTGTCTGCATATGGCTGATGGGTAAGTGATTCCTTCAATAAATAAATTATATACATGTACATATTTTAGTTAAAGCTTAGTCACTCTTTTCATTTTGGTAGACCGGACGGTTAACATTGTTCTATTGTGGACATTAGGACGGGAGAACATTGTATAATCAAATGTTCCTGGAAACATATACTCTACTTGAACATACTGTAATTACCTTAACAACCATTATCCATGACCATCCATCCATTCACTCATTCCTATATCTGTTCATCCTGTGCAGGATGATGGGGGTCAAGTGGCGGTATACAACAAGTACAGGTTGCTACTCAGTAGTTTATCTAGGGCTTCAGGGAGTCTACAGCATAAAGAAATTACACTGTTATTGCATAAGCATCACATCTACCAGCACAAGTGTGATAGACAGATTGTTGGTACTCCAATATGCTTTGGGGATTTATAGTAAATTAAATACTATGAGCCTATGGTAGATCTCATTATATAAAGTGATTGCAACACGATGTATACATATTTGTTGAGATTCATGCTGATGTAATTTGATTGCAGTCCTTTGTCACATATCCTTTAAGAGTTGCTTACAGTGCCAACAATGTGTGTTAAGAATGTAAGACATATATTGGGCTGCAAAGACCAAAAATATATTCAGTTTCAATTATATTAAACAGAGAAAATCAGGAAATCTCTGTGTGTCAAGAGAGCCTAAAAAACTGTGTTTCTTGTCATTTTGAATATCAGATTTTTGAAATAAGTTAACTTTAATGTTCCCTTCAGTTGTTTAATTGATAAGCCAACCAATCATTGCAGGTTTGGACACAATCAGGAAGTTATACCATTAGCATAATCCACTGCCCACTCCAAGATGAATGCCGGAGTTGTATGTGATTCCATGCTGACAACAAAACCAGAGCCAAGACAACCCCAGCACCGACCTTTTATAGTCTGCAGAAAAAATTAATTAGAGGCTGTGCCTATTGAATAGGCTGATGTCAGTCTGATGAGGAAGATAATACTGCCTTGACATGAAACTCTTCAGTATAGTCAAAACAGAGCTGCAAGCGTATGCTCCTTATCGCATGTGTTATATGGGCTGTAAGTAATTTCAAAGCCTCTCATCTGAATGTATAAATAATGTGGCATACATTTATTATGAAGGCATAATGTCATATAGATCACATTTGGCTGCACAGTTAGGAGTAGTTTGGAAATCCCTGAAGATTACACATGATCAGGCAGAGCACACACACTCTCGCCCTGTCTTTCTATCATTGTCCTTCAAACACACACACATACACAAACACACACGCACGCACGTAGACTAAGTGTGTGTATCAGGAGTCAACAGGGGTGACGCAGGTCAGTGTTTTGTGTGTGTGCGTGAGTCTGTTAAACATTCAGTTGAAATATTGTAGTTCTCTTCTGTTTCAACCCCCAAGGGCTCCAGTTCCTCTAATAAGGTGAATCCTGACCTCTTTGTCCATGTAGTCTCTGCTGACCATACGGGCTGGGTGTCATGGAAATGCTGTGTGTGCTTTGTGTGTGTATGTGTGAGTAAATGTGCAGATGTGGGAAGGTTAAGAGAGATTGAAAACAGCAGAGGAGGAAGATTTCCTTGCATGAACGCCTCGTCTATTTGCTGCTCATTTGTCTGTGGGGGGGAGTTAGTCAATATCGGAGGGGGAGAGGAAAGCTTCTGTGCTTGTATCTGTCCACGCTGAAGTTAAAGGGAGGTGAAGGCATGCAAACGTGCATGTCTTTTTGCAAAGTGCATGCTTGCATGGGACTGATTCCCGGTGCAGCTAAGGGTGGTGGTTGGTAGAGGTGAATTCTGAAAGAGCGTAAGACAACGTTGTTAAATTATCTCTGTTACCACTATAACCTGCTATACAACAATCCATTATGTCCATCTCGCTATGTAATGAAGTGCTGTTCCAAGTCAAATGGCTATAAGACACCTGCCTCTCACCCCTTACTAGGTCTAAGCCTGACACTTTAATACACTCCTTCTCTTTCCTTTTTCCTATCCCCGTTCAATCTCACTTCATCCGCCTGTGACATCTGCGGGATTGCAATCAATATGCTGGCTGCATCCAGCTGAGACATTCAAACCATCTGTATCTGTACAGCCAGGGCATCATACAGCGTGTAGGACTCAGTGTGTGGTAGAACGAGTGTTAGCCAAGTTATTGTTGATCCGTATTTCTAGCCGCCACAGTGCAGCCGTCTGTATCGCATTAGATGGCAGCCACATCCAGCAAGCAGTGTGGGTATGAAATCACGCACATTTCTTGAGTATAACAGTTCTGATTGCCTTATGTGGATGTCTGAATGTCTTTGTGGCTAACGGTAGCAGGGAAGGATAGAGAAACAGGGTCATATAGGAAGTCACTGATTGATAGTGATGGGAGCTTTAAATGAAGGGAGGGAGTCAGAACAAGACAGACCGGGAGGACTGAGTCACTGCACAGAAGTCTCTGAACAGAGTCCGGGCAAATGAAGCACGGGCCTGATGGGATACACAGGCACACACTCACACACACACACACACACTCACACACACACACACACACACACACACACACAGACACAGACACAGACACACACAGACACACACAGACACACACACACAGACACAGACACACACACACACACACACACACACACACACACACACACACGCACACGCACACACAGAACATTATGGCAATATGGGTGAGTTCAACTCTTACGCAAAGTCTGATACGTTTGGGTTGAAGTAAGGCCACTTTTGTTATTCATTTTAGGGTAATTTCCATCATCAAATTCATAAAAAATGAGTCTGGAATTTTACAGAGAGAGATGCTTCAGGAATTTGTCATTGTAGAATTGGGTTGTATTCAACATTCTAGAATTGTCATTCAACATAATTGTCATTCAACATTCTAGAATTTGTATTCAACATTCTAGAATCTGTATTCAACATTCTAGAATCTGTATTCAACATTCTAGAATTTGTATTCAACATTCTAGAATCTGTATTCAACATTCTAGAACTGTCATTAAAAATTCTAGAATTTTCATTCAACATTCTAGAACTGTCATTTAAAATTCTGGAATTTTTATTCAACATTCTAGAATTCGTATTTCAACATTCTAGAATTGTCATTCAACATTCTAGAATTTGTATTCAACATTCTAGAATTGTCATTCAACATTCTAGAATTTGTATTCAACATTCTAGAATTGTCATTCAACATTCTAGAATTTGTAGGTTTTAGGGTAATTTCCATCATCAAATTCATAAAAAATGCACTGAAAATATTTTCTAGTAAGTCTGGAATTTTACAGAGAGAGATGCTTCAGGAATTTGTCATTGTAGAATTGGGTTGTATTCAACATTCTAGCATTGTCATTCAACATTCTAGAATTTTCATTCAACA